TCAACAGTCGACTGTCTTCCTTAGACAATCGACTATTAGCTTCTGCAGAAATTCTGTAGCCTTCAATAGTCGATTGTCACCTTCTGTCAATCGATTATAACGTTCCCCAGGATTCCTGCAGTCTCTAACAATCGATTGTCTCCTTCTGTCAGTCGACTATCAGCCCCTCCTGAAGTTTAAAGGCTGTCCTAGTTTGCTACCAATTCCTCCGTAATCCCGCCCTCAAATTATCTACATGATAAGACCCCGAGTTCGGGTATAACACTTCTCCGAGTTTTGATCAAGAAAAACATCAAGCAATGGGAAGAGCATTTACCACACGCAGAATTTGCATATAACCGGACACCGAGCCGAATTACAGGCTTATCTCCTTTCTCCATTGTTTATGGTTTGAATCCTTTAACACCAATAGAACTTGACCCGATTATGACAGGTACATGATACAGTTGGGAAGCTGACCAAAGATCAAAGGAAATCTAAAACATCCACAACAAAGTCTGGGAAAAGATAGAAGCCATGAACGAGCGTGTAAGCGAACAAATCAATAAGAAAAGGAAAAGTGCTAGCTTTGAGCCAGGCGACTTAGTTTGGATCCACCTCAGGAAAGAGCGTTTCCCCACGAAACGTAAATCAAAGTTGCTGCCAAGAGCCGATGGTCCATTTGAAGTCTTAGAAAAGATTAATGAGAATGCCTATAAAATCAACCTGCCTGGAGATTACGGAGTTTCTGCTACCTTCAACATCAAAGATCTCAGTCCGTATTTTGAGCCTGAAGAACTTCCGAGTTTGAGGGCAAACTCTTCCGAAGAAGGGGAGGATGTTGTATCCCTGAGTACTAGAGTTGACTCTCAAACCCTCAAACAAATAAATGGAATAATGTCCAAGTATCATAATCCTTTTTGGATTTAATTCATCACCCCTAAACCTTACCACCCAACTTTGATTCATTTCCCTTCTTTTCGTTGACGTGGCCGAACCACCCTACACTCCACCATAAGCCCTACACATTTCACAAACACCCACAAACAACCAAAATCCTTACTTTTCATCATTTCACCCTTTCGCCTCATTTTCCTTAAGCTAGGCCGAACAACAAGAACCCAAAAACCAGCTGTTCTCAATGTCTAAAGACCAAACAACATTAGGGACCACTTGTCCCCTAGTAAGGCCGAATTTGCATCAAGAATAGGCCAAGGAACATGTGTTGTTGTTTGATAGCTTACCCACCATATATTCTCTACATTAAAAGCCAAACACACATGAAATATTCACACCCTTGACCTTTCTCCTAATTGGCTGAAAACAACCCTTCACCCACCATATATTTCCCCACACAACCCACCAAATATTACTCACATCAAACCCTCCCTTTTGTTCCCTAATATGGCCGAACCAATCCCACTCAAACCTCATCAAAATCATCCTTAAATCACAATATTCCCACACCCCCTTTTGTCCCTCAATAAAGCCGAAAACATCAAAGCCAAAAATCCCCATTATTCTTGATTTTCATTCCATAAAATGATGTGATCAATTAGGTATTATTCTATATATTTGTTTAAGGAAGTTGCTTAGAATTTTCCCTCTTATTCCTTGTATTTAATTCGGACAAAAGGCCTCATTGTAACTCACTTTGTAATATCTCATTTCATAAATAATACACTTGTTTGTGTGTTGTTTCAAATCCTAATTTCTATATCTTAAGGTTGGTCCCCTTAAGTGTGAGTGTTAGGTTCCAGAATTCAATTAAGTGAGTGAGGATAAGAGTGTGTTATATCTCTTAAAACCAACCTGGTTTTATCCCTTTTTCCTTATTCTTTCTCCTCCCTTTTCTGCCATCCTTTCAACACACCAAACAACCCCCTTTTCTCCCATAACCTTACATCCTTAAAACATCCCAAAATAAACTCTCCTTCCTCCTCCTTATTTTCGGCCTCTCCTATTCCCTCTCAATCCTAAGCTATATACAACAAAAGAGGCCCAAGTGGTGAATGAACCAGGAGGCATGTAGTAAAGCCAATCTTTTGCCTTGTCTAACAAGGAAAATGGAAATGCTCTCAATTTTATGGCGTCCTGAGGGATGCCCTCTGGTTCCATTGCCCCACAGGTTATCAAAAATTCACTTATGTGCCTATATGGGTCCTTACCTGATGTACCCCGGGATGCTCCTACAAGCACGGAGGTTACACCACAAACCATAAAACAAATCAAAGGGTTAATATCTAAGTGTTATGATCCTTGTTGGGCTGAACTCATTAACCTTTTGTACCCTAAAACCCAAACCATAACCCTGCTCCTCCAAAGCTCTTCTTGATATCAAGCCTTTCCATATCCTTCCCAAATATCCAAAGTCTTTTATTTCCATTTGATAAACAAAATAAAGTCTTTTCTCTCCTTTTTAGCCCTGAACGAGAATGAGGTCAGAAGGACAAGCCTTGTGTATTATTTCTACTTCTGTTGTTCCTTTTAATTAAAATAAAACCTCCCTTTCACTTCCCCACTTCAAACCCACGAATTTCCCAACTCTTTTACCCAAAAATCAGGCCACATTATGTTCCACAAAACAAAAACAAAATCAGGAAAAAGTTTTCCTTGATTGAATAGTGCTGATTTTGTCCTGTTGTTCAAAACCCAATCCCATTCATATCCTTCAGC